ATCACAGCATAGAGCACCACAGAGAACAAGAATATCTCAAACAAATTTTAGAATAAATATCACATCTATATACGTTTGTATGCATAATAATGTCTGTAAGTAAATACAAGTACGCAGTCAAATTTACAATCTTGCATCCTCCATGTGCTGTGTTTCCGTTTGCATGAACAAATTTCTGTACATATATGTGTGGAAATCAGCTGAATTCAGTAAAACTCAATCATATAGAAAACGATTCGCTGTTCATGAAAAATATTACAGAGCTTTTTTAAAAAAAAAATTTGTTTAGGCGGTCGAAAAATAATTACAATGGACAGATGCAGTTATATGTCCCGTACCTATTAAAAACTTTTAAGGATTTATCAATGAATAACATACATTCACAGACAAAATAAAAGTTAATCGAAAAATTCGCTCTTAAAAACCGGTACCTAAAGCTCGTATTTTTCATACATATTTTAATATGTAAGTATTAGCTATATTTTCGAACATAATCTAATTTTGATTATGAGTGTCAATACTTACATCTGTGTCGCGTTTTATCCCAATTGTAGAAAACGCATAAGAACTGGCAAAAGTATTAGTACCCGGAAGATGTTTGATTTGCAGTGAAGTTTTTGTATATTGAGGTATTGAGTATTTCACTTTGCAACAGCTGGTAAATCCTAAATTTTCCACCGATTTGGTAGCGCAGGTTGAATGCAACGAAATATTAGAGGAAATGTTCGGTTGGGAACAGCTCTTTTCAAATTTATGAAAAAACAATGACTTTTCGGTACGATTTGAAATTGGTTCACCTGGTGAATTTAAATCTATATGGACAGCACTCTCAGATATTTCAGATATTTTTAATTTAGCTTCGGTTCTATATGGTATTGGTGAATCCAGCTCATTCGACTTTATCTTTTTATATGAATTAGTATAGTTACTTTTTTCATTTTTTAACGGCCGTGTTATGTTGAGATATTCAATTGTTTCGTCCCTATTTATTGTGGCAGCCAAAGAGCTTGTTGATGAATTTCCCGTTCCCCCTGCTGTTTTAAGCCTCCGTTTTTGCTCTGAGTTGCTCTTTTGATTAAAGTTTATTTTAAGATGTTCGTTACGATCGTAGCATAGTATGCAGGTTGATTTCCATTGCAATTTCTTACGCGACGTTGATTCAGAGCTATTTTCAGCTGTCACTTGCGTGCAGCTGTTAGCGTTAGAGTAAATGTATTTTAAATCTGAGCAGCTTCTGAGTCTACGTCTTAGAGAATAAGTATTTGTCAACACCAATGGCTTTTTTAGCGGCACACAACTCAATTGGTGGACATGTCGATGCTTTTGACACTTTTCCAATCGGCGTATTTTTAGTGCAGGCTCGCCGAAATGGATGCTACTGCAAGCGGCCACTGCAAAGCAAATTCGAGGGCGAGATTTGGGTTTGGGCTGCACTGGGGGTGGATCCCGACGACCACAACGTAAATAAGATCTAAAACAGTCACTGTTAAAGCGGCACGAGTCATTAGGACAATGACCAATTGTAGCGTGACCTTTTCTACAAGATGTAGAGACCTTTAATAACTGCTGCTCCTGTGTCTGCGGCTGAATAACTTTGTAATTAGTACAACCATGAATTATTGGTAACACACTACGAATATCATGCGGTACAGAAAATGCTGACGCGCGGGGCACCTCAACTTTTGAGGCCTTTTTCGTTGCCGATGTTTTTGTGTATTGTGCTATAGTTGATGTTTTTGACTTCTGTTGTTCTATTTCTACACACGGCAGCGACAGCGAGCCAACACTAACGTCATCATTAGCATCAACAACATTATCATTGGCTTCCTCTTCAACGGAGACAAAACGATACGACGACAAATCAGATACTGAATCCATGCACGAGCGATAAAAAGCTACGATGCCAGGCTGCTGCTGCTCTTGCCGTAGCTGTAGTCTCTCTCCGCAGCACCGCCCGCAGAACAACCATGCCGGCGAGCTTTCTGTAGCATTTTCACTTGAACATTGAAGCTTTTTACGCAAACGATGCATCTGATTTAGTTTTGTTTTGGCTGATCTCAATTTTAATTGTTATTGAATATCGTAGGTAGTTGTATTTTGACAGTGATACAATTTTAATGATTTGATTCCGTCTGATATATATATGTATGTATATGTATGATGCAATAAGTATTCGACCGTCAGTTGATATAATTCCAAATCTCCAGTTATTGAATGATGATTTATTAATACATATAGGCCCAGTTAGGTAGTTTTGAAGCTATTGTTGGATATTCTGATACTACTATAAACAGAAATCTATTACAATATGGATCATATTTATATCTGAATTGAGAAAACTATTGATGATTTTATAATGCTTTATTGTTATTTTTATATACTCACAGTTGCAACTGTGTAAATATTGCAGGTGATATAACAGTTCGGTATCAATTGTTGGAATGTTTGAAGCTAGTACAATATGAGCAGCTCTTATCTTCGCTGTATCACGTATCACCATCCAAGATAGCTCTTTTAACAAACAAATGAAACCCTTTGCTAGATTACATTTTTCAGATGCACAATTTAAAACTTTTAAGCTTAAACCTGTTTTAGAACTGTGAGAATTTAAACATGTTTAAATTATGAAATCAATGGTCAAAATATTTATAAACATATATGAATAATATAACCATTAAAGTATGTTTTATAAAAATGGTAAGGGTATACGAGATTGTGTTCTAACATACGTATACAAATCTTTGTAGCTGTGTAAAGCTAAATTTTATCTATAGTTTTTATCTAAGCATTTGGTAAGTAAATAAAAAAAATAAAAAAAAAAACAGAGCTAAACAGTAAGAAAATTAATACTTCAACAGGTTGGAGATGCTTTCTTCCAATTTTCAACGGATTCAGGGTATAAATATGCATACCTATGCACATCTGTCTATATCCATATGCTGGAACCAATTATTGAATTTACAATTTGTTCTCGAATATTTGCCAACTTTAATGTGCTTAAATATCGGAAAGAAAAATATAATTATATAAGAATCGATATCAAACAAGTAAGAGGTTCTAGTCGGGAGCTCCCGACTAGGGGATACCCTGAACCCTTTTCTTCCAACATCAAATGCATATATATATTCTATTTTAGAAGCTATATGCCAAGTTTGGTGACTCTAGCTTTTATTATTTACCAAAATTGCCGAAAAAACAAAATTGCTTGGAAACGGAATAAGTTATCGATTATCGAAAACAAACTCGATCTGCGTAGGCACTAGGAGCACCTACATCTAAAGCTCTTATAGTTTCTGAGATCCTTCCGTTCATACATACGGACAGGCGGATAGATCGACTCGGCTATTGATGCTGATCAAGCATATATATATATATATACTTTATGGGGTCGGAGATGCTTTCTTCTGCCTGTTACATACATTTGGATTTTGCACAAATACAATATACCCTTATACCTATTTTATATGGTTTCAGGGTATAAAAACATATCAAGAAAAAACAGATTGTTGTAAAAAGTTTTAGAATACATACAACGGTTTTTTTTTTATATAGGTATATGATAAAAAAAGTAATGAATACGAGGGAACAATTGAAACTGTAATTCAATAGCTTTATACCCTATATCTATCAAAATTATATAAAAGGGTAGCTTAGCAAAAGCGTGTATACGTGAATGTCTATTTTTGTTTAGGTCTATAAGGAGACAATACGGACAATTATTACGACAGTCCGATGTTTAGAGTATCTCGATTTCACATTGAAATGTTATATGAAATTGTACGGGGTCCGTGCCTGAACAAATAAATGTATGACAGTCATAGGACAACACCTACATACATATTAATGCATAAACCCACAAAGTGTACTTCATTGTGGCCTAAACTAATTTACTGTGCTTATAAACAAACGGTGCAAAAGCTTTTGAACTGTAAAGCATGTGTAAGATATGGCTTCTCAATAAATATGTTTTATTACAAAAAAATAATAATAATGACATTAAAGACAGCTTCATTTGTTTTGTGTACTACATATTCCTTATACATATGTGTATATTAAAGCGAAAGTATGCCTTAGCACAACAGTCAACACGCAATTAACTTAAGGAAAACTCATCTTCATAATATAGTCGTGCTGCTTTGTATGGCATATCTCTTACTTCTTTCTCTGGAGCTAAGTGAGCATTTGTATTGATGCAAAAGCGGTTTTTATGTTGTTGTTTTCTTTCGCAGTTTTTTTTTCCTAAATGAAATCAAAGCGAAATTTGGGTCGCGTTCGCTTTGACTGGATTGTCAAACTTTGAGCCCCTTGATATTTTTGCCAGCAAAAGACCAAAAACTTTAAAGCGCACTTTTAACACATAGCCAAAAGAAAAGAAGATTTGTGAAATACTGTTTGTTGAACTTTAGCAAATAAAGTAGGATTTTTAACGTTAAGCCAGATAAGCGAACAAAATAAATGAAATTTGCATGGGCATGCTGTGCCCTATATAACAACTACAAGAGCCTTGTAAATGTTAACGCATTTCACTCAGACCTAATTTTAGGCACATTATTTGTATCGATCCATGCCCGATAATACTTGAGCAAGTACTTTTTAAATATATATATCGGCTAAATATAGGCACCCGATCATTTTATTTTTTACTGTCTGCGTACTTTGCAGTATCAAAATGTTGCAAGCCAATATTCGTGAATGACGACTCTTTAACAATATAATATCAAATCATGTTTATTCTGTAACACTGTCCGAGTATGACCGATGTTAGTCGCGTTCGATTGTACTTGATCTATTCTCTTTACGAATCAGTCTATCGATAGTTTAGTAAGCATCTAACTAGATATTCACCTTGTCCTTAATCAAATTAATGTTTGAAATTGTAATCTTCTCAAAATACATTTAATATAATATAAAAAAGCAGATTTACTTCTTAATTGAAGATCAGATCTGTGCGTTTAAAATATCGATGAATCGATACCGTTTTGCGCATCTCTTATTTTAGCTTCTTACTGCCACACTGCAAGGTTTTTAATTCACAATAAAGTTTCTTTTATAAAAATAATATCAAACTTGGGTAAATGCTAATATACATTTACAATTTTACCACTTATTCTATTTTGAAATTAAAATTAGATAAGTTTACATAATTATCAATTTTATTTAATATGTCTCTAACTATTTGAGGTTGGACTTATCATTCTTTTTATATCACAGCAGAGACTCAACAATGCTACAATTTATATGTATGTATATGGAAGTCCGACAAAGCAAAGGCGAAAAGGCACATCAACAAAAAAAAAAGTATCATACAATACTTATTTCCTAATATTATATTTTTATTTGTGTTTGAGAACCACAATTTAATTGGGTATTAAAATTTAATTTAATAGGCCGGTAAAATTAATGCTGGTACATAAGAAGCTACTGGCAAGAAAAGAATTGTTGCTTACCGCTGAAATTGATAAGCAAGGTACGTTTGTACAGTCCGAGATTGTTAGTAAATTTTGGTAGCGTTATAACTAAAATATGTAGAGCCGGATTGCGACGACAGCAATAATAGTACATGCAATATCAAGCCATCAGGTTGGACAAATACTGGCTGATCAACTGTGTCATATGGCAAGAGTGCGGAATAGTGACCGGTAAAAGCTAGTTAGTTGGACAATTGACAGAATCCAAAACACATTTATCTAGCTATGATAAAGATTCACTTTGGACTATATGACAACTAACAAGTGGAGACACTGGCATCCAGCTGGATTTCATTGCTTAGCGTAGAGCGTATTGATGGGTATAAGCTGCCAAGTGTAAATGTACACGCAGATTTCTCTCTTCTCATGCAGCATTTGGATTTGGCCTCTGCTCTTGCTATGGTGGTTTCTACGAAATGTACTAGAGGCATATAAGAAATAGCCATTTTAAAGTACGCAGCTGCGAAGGTAGCTAGTCAGGACCGGAGAGACGACAGCAGTTCTAAAAAGTGGTGTCGCTTTCATTGTATGGTTTACATATATGATTAACAATTACTTGAAGCAGCGGTTAAAGCGTGGACTGGGCACGTGGACACGTGGGCAGCTTTAGGACTGGGCTGGCATTAAATTCACACCATCAGGACTACGTGCATACAGCATGGCTAGGCACAGCCCTTTAGGTCTTCTTTTTAAAACAACACTTGGAAAAGATTAATTGGTTTCTTTGTTTGGTGCAACTGACAATTGGGCCGGAATATATAGTATCGACTGAGAAACTTGTTTAGAGTGTATGAAACTAAAATACTAAAACTACTGTCCGCATTTGTAATATTCTTTTTTTTTGTTCAATAATTAAATTTAAATGTAATTGTAAATTAAATTGAATATTTTTTAATTAATGTAAGCCATCAAATGTTCTTATACACTGCGTGTCATCGGATTAGCGCTCCCCTTTACATTCTTACAAATGTTCCATACTGTCAAAACATTTGAACTATCAACTCAAAATTTTTGTCGATTTGACTTTTATCAATTCTTCATAAAATAAAACAACAATGGCTTTTTAAAAATTCATGATTATATTTAATTATTTTTAAAGTATATAAATATATATTTTTCAAAATCTTTCATGAACGTTAGTGGTTGTTATTATTTATATTTTATTTTTAAGCATTTTTAAACTAATTTAGTAATGTGTGTCCCGCCTTTGTTGATAATCACTTCGTAAACTCGATTGGGAATTGAATCATAGAGTTGCCCAATATACTGTAAGGATATGGTGGACCAAGCGTGTTTGATGCCTTCGATTAACGATTTTGTTTTATATTGTGTCCCGGACTCATACACTTTTTGAGCCAGCCATCCCCAAACGTTCTCGATGACATTTAGCTCAGGCGAGTATGGTGACCACTCAAGGACTTCAACTTTTTGGCTCTGAATCCAGGTTTTGACGCAGTATGAATTGGGGTATTATCGTGCTGGAAATGCCATTTCAGATCCCGAAATATATCTTGAAAGTGGGGAAAATCAGTTTTTAAAACGCCGTTGTAGTTATCTGCATTCATACGCGATGTTGAAAACAGCAATTTGTATAATTTTTTTTTTATTTAAATTAAATTAAGTTAAATATTTTGTAATCGATGCAAGCTATTAAATGTTGTTGTATAATAAATTTCAAAAAAATAATATATATAAAAATTTATACATTAATTATACTTATGTTTTACATTAGATATATATTTTGAAGATTAATTTTAAAAAAATATATAAATAACTAGAGTTTACAAATCGGCTTTAACCAGGTCGTTATTTCATCAAATTTTTTATAATCAAAATTTAGATAATTAATTTTCCCCCATTACCGTCCTTTTATTATTACTTCTTTCTATTAGTATCTAAATTTAAAATATAATTATATATATATTTTTAAAGTCAATTGGACGGTTGTTTAGTAGGGTTTCGCGTCGTCGTAAGTCAACCAGTTTTCGCGTTATTAAGGCACACATCACATTCATAAAGACGTTCCTTGATTTAAATGCTGTGGATAACATTTATTAGATTTTATTAGAATATATGCGGCACATTTAGCATGGAGTGTTAACTTGAGTTACTAATAATGTCAAAGAATGCTGCAGTGAGTCACAAACGGAAAGTACCATTGTCTCTAATCTAAGGGCTTATGTATTAATATCAAATTGAAAGAGCCATTAATACAGAGATTTACACCTGTCAACATAATTTGCCAAAATATTTGTTTAACAAATAAAACAAATGAATATTATACATAAGTATTTAAGGGTCATTATGACCTATGCATAACTAATTCGCACTCATCCGTTTTGAGACTAATGTAAACTTTCTTTTGCTGGGACGGACGCGCCTGTTTAATGTTATCTCAAACATTCACTATGGTCGCCGTCGCTTTAGGTCCATTTTACTCTGCGTGACATCTACAAAAAATCAAGTTGCATGTGAAAAAGCTATATGTTTTCATATATAAGCTGATACTTACGAGGGTATCCCAGCGAATCCCAGAAGTGCATCATCTGATCTTGTCGGGTGCTGACATATTAACCGAGATGTCTGGCCCTCGTTGTGAATGCTTGGGGATATCGAAGGGATTATCGAATTGTTGAAAATAATATAGAAATAATGCTAAATTTGTATTCTTGTTAAATTATAATAATAATTACGTTCCTCGATGCGCGTCTCAAAACAATGCGTACGCATATACTTATGTATGGGTGATCACACTTTACACTGCTTATCACACATACATAGTTTGTACGCATACACATAAGCGGGCATTTCATCATTTGCATTTGCATGCTCATATTTTTCTTTTTTTAAATAAAAGCGGATAAAATTGCTTCAATTTACATCAATTAATTTAACTGATGTTCGGAATAAAACAAAATGTTACGACTATTTTATAATTATATCTAAATCAACATTTATTTTTTAATAATTTTTTTTTTTTAAAAGCGTTGTTGAGCCGTTAAGAACAGCGCATTCGAAAATATTTTTGAAGAAAATTGAATTAAAATGCTATGCGAGCTTCTCTGCTATTTGCATTTCGCAGAGAACTTCCAACTCGTCTTTATGTTGCAAAAAATAAATTGTTTAATAAGAACACTGTTCTTAAAAATAAAATACTTGCATCTTACACAGCTGATATGTATATCAACGAAGGCAAGCGGCAACTTTAGATAAGAAATTTAACATTAGAATAATTCCACAGTGTTTAGAATTTAAACATGGCGAAATCTCGAAGAGTACCTAAAATGGAGCCCTTACTTCGAAAGCGCAATTTTTGAGTTTTGGAAGAAGAACTTTACGGTGCTTATGTAAATTAAAGAAACTCGATCAGCCGTTTATTTTAAAAAGCGGTACTTTCGCCACTCACATGTTACCGCCAACCGGTGGAACACCAATATGTGACATTGGAAAATGTAACATTTCTTAAACCAGAGCACTAACCAAACAACATAACATAACACAACATGTTGTTTGGTTAGTGGATATACGTAAGTAAGTATCAATCAGCTTATTTACAAATACAGATAGTTTTCTCGCTTGCACATTGGAGATGACCATGTCACGCAGAATTACAGAAGCTCTGCTCGATTGGGTACGACAGCCACGCCAAGTGCGACAGCGACGACAGTTGACGACGAACATAATAAATTTTTTAGTTATTTGTGGTAACATTTAATGGATGCGTCTGAGAGTTTAGCAAGAAAAAATTCCACATTGGCGTTCAGACGAATGAGTGCGATTAAGTTATGAATAGATTATTAATCTCACGAATAATATTCTGTACACTGCAGAAATTGTGGACATGGTTTTGTTTAAATCCACAAGCTGGTGCGCCTCATGAATAAACAGATCAATCGACCTTATGCCCCGCTTCCCTCACCGAAGCGGGTGCTCAACTACGAGCAAGCATCAGTGGTAGATGCTCCAAAGTACATTTTGTTTTTACCTAATTACAAACCAATCCACAGCAGGGATAACAAGAAGCGTACTTACGAAAGGATATGTGCCTGAAAACGTTAACCTATTCGGACAATTCTAAATTCCTTAATAGGATACAGAGAGATTTCACAGTTGAGAGTGATTGACGTGTTTGACTCCAAGATTTTTATATATTTTTGCGCTTTAATCTTGCTTCTTATTTAAAAATTTTGCATTTGTCGGTGCTTTATTTAAAAAGCTTTTATAAATTGTGCAGTGTTATCTGTTGTGCAGCGTAAGTCTGTTAATTATTGCATTTATAAGACGCGTCGTCAGTTCCGTGTTGTTGTTATTGCCTGTTTTGATTATTTTGCTTTGGTGCTCCCCTGTGCATACACTTGTTTATGCACTTGTTTCTGCTTGTGCATCGCGGTCTCTCAAATTTTTTCTATTGCTTTTCGCTCGAAACAATTTGTTTGTGTACGAATAATTGTTTTTTGAGTGCTTACTTGCTCTATCTTGTGCACCGTTTTCGTTTTGCTCTACGCTCTCGCAACTTGCATACGCATTTCTTAATTATATTGTGCTGTGTGAGAATATGATGCATGCTAAATGTGCAGGTCTCACTGGGCGTGATTGCGACAAGATCGCTGCAATTGCCAAGAAGGGCTGCGGCGGCTTGCGTTGGTCGTGCCCAGAATGCATCGACAAGCAAATTGATTTCTCCAGAATGTATAATTCTGTGAGAAATCAATTCTTAAAATTGAATAATGTGGCTAAGCAACTGTCTTGACTCGAGTTTCGAGTTGCTTGGCAAATATAAATTCGAGTCCCCAACCAATCGCCGGTATGAGCCTCAACTTTTGCAATTGCCCCCTACGTCTGGTCAGACACCTACCCCTTTCTTGTTCCTTCCAAGCAACTTGGATGTATCTTTATTGTCTTTATTGCCTTCTCCAAGCGACTGTCCAATTACCCCTGTTTCTACAGGGTACCCCCTGTAGTAGTCTCAGAAGAGCCCGTACCTGATCCCGTCCCAGTTAATCTAACTGCCTCAGCCCCGCCAGCTCCTGGCCGCAAAGGTAAACCTGCGCACAATCTTGCCCAGATTGTTAAAAACAATCATTGTGCCTCTTTAGCTCCTCCAACTCCTGTATTACCTACCGCCCCATTAGCGCCTACTTTAACGGTAGTTACTCTTCGTAGGCAAGTTTTTGTGTCTCGACTTTCGTCGGACACCACTTCTGAGTCGGCAGCCTATATTGCTAGCAAATCTTCTGCTAGCATGTCAATAACCAAATTTAATTTCTCCACCCCTCGTGAAATATCATCATTCAAAATAAATGTTTCACATGATATATTCCCCAATCATTTGTGATCCCAAATTTTGGCCACCACACATGATTGTTCATGAGTTCAAGCCTAAAAAGCGTAACCAGCCTCACTCTCACCCTTCCAGTCCCTTCAATACAGGGTACCATTTCTGCCCCAAGAAACTAGCTTCATCTTCTGACCAAATCTTTATTCATTATCAGAATGTCAGAGGTCTCACTTCAAAGCTAAAAAATCTTTTTATTGCCAGCACTTCCTTCGATTCGGACATAATAGCATTTTCAGAAACATGGTTAAACTCAACCATATCTGATTTTGAGATATTACCGAATAACTTTATTTTGTTTAGAAATGATCGGCCGACTCGAGGTGGTGGGGTGTTAATTGCCGTTAAAGCCACTCTCCAGTCTGAACTATTCTGTTTTAGTACGCCTACTGACGCTGAGATTGTCTCAGAGAAGGTGTCTTTTCCTACACGGAATATCTATGTAACATGCTCTTATGTCCCACCTTCTTCTGATATTCAAGTTTATATGAATCATATTACTTGTATTAAAGAAGTTTCTTCACACGTGCGGGATAATGACCTATTATTGGTGTTGGGTGATTTTAATTTGCCGAACATCTCTTGGTCATTATTCACTGCTGAAAATTATCTAGTGCCCTCAGCACAGCACGATTTTATAGACTGCATGCTTGATCTTTCGATGTTTCAAATCAATTCAATTTCTAATCATTTGAACAGAACACTTGACATTGTATTTGTTAACGACTACCTTATTTCTAATGTGTCTAGATCCCCTCCTTTATCTCTTCCTGAGGATGTCTATCATCCAACTTTAGAGATTACTATGCGAAAATGTAATCCTTTCATTTCGTGCTCATCAGCCAATAAGCCCCGCTGTTGCTTCCGCAAGGAAATTAATCTTTGCTGAATCAGCTTATTTATGCAACCGATTGGTCTTTCTTATATGACTCGGTTGATATGAATACTGCCATTAATTTTTTTATATCACCCTAAACTCCTTCTTAGATGTGTGTATTCCAAGTTTGCCATCTTCTTTCTCTCTTGGGATGGATAAAGCTAGCAATTAAACTGATTCTGCTAACATCTTTGCTAATTTTTTGCAATCAACTTACTCTTCAGTCTGTCCTAATACTAATTCTTACCCTTTTACTATTTCTTCCGCTAGTTCTATACCTCCCCCCATTATTTCACACTCCTCTCTCCTATTAGCTATAAACTCTTTAAAATCTTCCTACTCTCCTGGGCCAGACAATATTCCTAGTTGTCTACTCAAGGAGTGTAGTTCTTCCCTTTTTTATCCATTGCTAAAGCTTTTTAATCTATCCCTTGAAACTTCTGTCTTTCCATCTCTTTGGAAAGAATCTTATATCATTCCTCTTCACAAGAAAGGTGGGAAGTTTGATATACAAAATTACAGGAGCATTGCTAAACTGTCCGCTATTCCCAAATTATTTGAAAAAACAATCACTTCGAATTTGCAGCATTTCTGCAAATCAGTTGTTTCCCCTGTTCAACAAGGATTCGTAAAGAATCGGTCAACTACGTCCAATCTGCTTGAATTTACGTCCTTGGTAAATGATGCTTTCCTTTCGAAAATGCAAACTGATGTCATTTACACTACCTTCAGTAAGGCGTTTTACTCTGTGCACCATGACATTTTACTTTTTACCGAATAGGTTTCCCTCCGTCTCTTTTGCTTTGGATTAATTCTTATTTAAAATGTAGGACCCAAAGAGTAATGCTGAGGCTGACTACCTCTAAACGGGTTTACGTTACTTCTGGTGTTCCTTGGACCTTTACTCTTTACTCTTTTTATAAATGATCTCTCCTCTGTTATATCCATGCCCGTGTACTCATGTATGCATACGATGTCAAACTTTTTCTATCATACACTAGCCCCCTACATCATTCTCGTCTACAAGACGATTTGAACGCTATGCAACTTTGCTGTTCGGCCATTCAAATGCACCTAAATTGTTCAAAGTGTATGTTTATGGCATTTAATCGTACTACACCTTATCTTGTCAGTTATACAATCGACAATATCCCTTTGCAACGTATACTAACAGTTAAGGATCTAGGCGTTATTTTTGATTCTAAACTCTGTTTCAATCTTCACATAGATACCATTGTTATTGAGGCAAAAGGTGTACTTGGATTCATTAAACGATGGTCTAAAGAGCTTAACGATCCTTTTATAACAAAACTTCTGTACATCTCTCTTGTTCGCCCTATCCTCCACAATATAACAATAGCCAGGATCGTATTGAATCTGTTCAGAAGCAATTTCTGCTTTTTGCCTTACGAGGTTTAAATTGAGACCCTAATCTTTGGTTGCCATCTTACTCCAGCAGACTGCTTCTTCGCAACTTTCCGTCGTTAACCAACCGTAGGACGATTCTCGTGGTTGTCCTTCTACATAAGTTGATTATTGGCGACATACATTCTCCTTTTCTGCTAGGGCGTCTTCAATTCTCTGTTCCGGCTAGACCAACCAGAAATTATCGCCCTTTATTCCTATCTAGGTGCACAACAGACTACGCTATGCACAATCCTTTTCGATTAAGATTATTTTTAATTTTACTTGAGATCACTTTTTTCCTACTTACAACATTCTGCTTAGATGTAGGCTCTAATAGCGTCACTGACAAAATTAGCTGTGAAAAGGGGAACAGCTGGCCGGACTGGCAATTAAAACACCTCCATCGGTCGGTGATGCTATTTAGAAAATAGTAATAATAATAATTATATTATCTATTGTATAATCTATTGAATAATGAGGAGAACACTCGTTTTGTCGACCATTAATGAATAAATAAAAAATAATAAAAAGGGGAAAAGCGCACTTTTAAGTTTTGCGCAACCATATATTAACCTCCAAAGTACAATTTCATTTTTTATTGCAGTTGTGTTGTTATTGTATTGTTAACACCCATAATATACGATTGCATCGTTTGTCGCATAAGAAACTTGAAAACTTGTTGACTTGGACATGCAAACGCGACCTATTAAAAATTATAAGGTTAACCTGTTGAATGAGGTAAAATTGATTGTATAAAATATGATTATATTTGTTCAAAAAATTTTGGCTGGTTAGAACCGATTTATAATTGCAGGTCAATTCATACATTTTTTTAATTAGACTTAAAATTTTAATACTAATGTAAAACATACGCATACTTAATATATCAATTTTTATATATATTATTATTTTTGAAATTTATTATACAATAACATTATAGCTAACATCAATTACAAAAGATTCATTTTAATTTACATTTAAATTTAACAATTAAAAGAAAAAAATATTTTAAATGCAAGCAGTATTTTTAGTTTTTAGTTTCAATCACTTTAAATACACAATAGCTTCCGCCAAATCGAAAATTCGATATTTAACATAATCGATAGTTAGCAGCTCTTATTCACTCATCTCGAAATGTGCGTCAATTAGTGACGGTGATGTGCGTCAAATTAGCGGCGGTGACTTAGCGTCGAATTTTGATGCTTGTTATCGGAAAAGTATCGGTCACTTTCAAATGCTTTTATTTATGTTTTTAAGCACGAAACCAAATAAATTTAAATGCAGAATTGTAAAAAATTAAATAATTTACTGCCTATATTAATTTGTTTTTTAATTTTAATTTATAATATGAGTAGACCATGGGGTTGAAATATTAGATTTCCACCATTCCATAAATATCTACAGTTTGCCAAGTAATTGTTTGCATAAGGAAAAAAAGACAACAAATTCATTTTTAAACTAATATTTTACCGAATTAAACTATTTCTTCTTAATTTTTTTTTTTGCATATTATTATTATTCTAAGTATTCTTCATAGATATAAGACACAAACATAACAAAATTCAAAAGGCAAATGTAAAAGAAACAGACAAAACTAAAATGAGGCAATTTTTGCGCTGTCAATTAATTCTTTGCAAAATGCAAACACAATTCGGAATAGAGCCCAATCTACCTAACAGTACTCCAAATTCGAAGAAATTTGAATGCGTGAGTCATTGATATGCAGTGTGCGAACCTTCAAAGCGATTTTGCGTTTTTGATAGTTTACACCTTGCCCAATTAAGAGCTTTTTGCAATGCCTGGTCAACGAGTTAATAAAAATCTAATTCAATTAGTTTATTTCCACTACCACAAGGGGAAATCCGCTAAAGAATTGGCGGAAATGTTCGCAATTAAGCTAAGAACTATTTATAATATTATTAACCGCGCCGAAAATGAAAACAGATTTGAATTAAAGCACTCCGGAGGCAGACCAGCGAAGCTCACTAGACACGATCATGGAAAAATTTTAAAACAGATCAACGATCAACCTCAAACTACCCTCCGACAATTGGCATCGGACTTAAAAAATGACTGCAATAAGACAGTGAGCCACGAGACAGTTCGTAAAGTCCTAAAAGTGCATAAATACTCCTCGCAAATAGCTAGGAAGAAGCCACTACTGTCGGCAGTAAATATTCAGCGGCGGCTTAATTTTTCAATTGCCAATGTCAACAAGCCCGCGGAGTACTGGGATGACGTTATTTTTTGTGACGAGACAAAAATAATGTTATATTATCATGACGGACTCAGCAAAGTTTGGAGAAAGCCCAATGCAGCTCTGGAATCGAAGAATATAATACCAACAGTAAAGTTTGGCAAGCTTTCGGTTATGGTGCTGGTTGCCTGTCTGCCTGCCCGATGCAAATTTGACAAAATTTGAAGTTTTTGGCATTTGTGAATTTCGAACTCTACACACACACATATAAACGCACACGAATGTTTGCGAATGAGCTGACCAAGGGTTTGTCGTGAGGCAGAGATATTTTTATCAATGGGTGCGTAAATTTGGGCGACTGGGACGGTCTTTGTTTTTTTCGGGATTTTTCCATACTTACTGGTGGGATTTCCCAAATCGCTAAAACTCGTATTCATTAAGTTCTTATGTAGAGCTCTGAATATAAGTTTGAGGTAAATCGGACAAGACTTTAAGCTAAACCAAAAAATCTTAGAATCGCACTTTTACCGAGGATGCCTTGATACTGCGAAAAATGTGAATCACGTCCAAATCTTTGACCCCCATTTCCACCAAGAAAGAATACATTTTTGAAAAAGTGTGAAAAAATTTTTCTATACTTGCGGGTGGTATTTCCCGAAACCCCGTAATAACGTGCTCCTTCATTACATATGGTAACTACTGAAAATTTCAGCTTCCTACCTCTTACGGTTTGAACTTTGCGTTGATCGCCAATCCGTTAGTCAGGACAAACCGTTTTACATATAGAGATATATTATATGCAAATATATTATAATATTATATTATATATATTATAATAGTATTCAATGTTATTTAATTGTAAAGAAATTTTATATATATATTTTATTTGCAATTAAATAGCATTGAATGAATATATATATAGGCGTATATATATATATATATATATATATGTGGAGCATCGATTTCGGGGACCCCAAAAAGTTGGGGTTTTCTCTGTGGGGAATCATGATGGAGCCTCTAAATTATGCTCTGGGAAAATTTAACGGCCTTCGAAGCATTTTCTCGTGACTTATGAGCAATTTTATATACAACCATTATTTTGGGTACACACCATGAAACGTGCTTTATAAGGGCTTAGTTCTTGAAATACTCTCAGCAAAAAATTTCCGTATAACGTACTTTATATATAAGGTCAGATTTAGGAGCAAAAACGCGGGGTTGCCAGATGCAGAAATTTTTGAATAAGCAACGTCTATTATAAGGACACAGGAACGATGAGATATGGTCCAGTTCACGCCTATAAAACTCAGCAATATTTTATTAAATCTATACATTTTAAATTCAGTGCCAGGCTGGCTTAGTTGAAATTAAACTCAAATACATTTTGAATGCAGTTTCAAATCATCTTAGGTTAAAGTAAAATTAACAATATGAATTTACATTAATGACGTTAATAAATACATTTATAGTATGCATTTTTAACAAATTCCAAATATTCTTAGCATAAATTAATATTAACATAAAAAAAATACGAAAATGTATAGTCAATTTAGTTCTAAATATGGTCAACATATTCATTATTTAATCTATTTGCGGAGTTGATTTTCTTGATTTACCCTTGCGCTGATGGATGGATAGATACCATGTTTTTACTTGCACCGGTGTCGAACATTTTAGATATGTAGAATTATTTATAACTGCGTTGCATTGCTTAAGCGACGGCAATCCTTTTAGAGACAACAGGTCTCCAAAAGGCCGGTATATTTCTTCACGCTCTTCATTCGACCAACGGTTTCTTATGGTTTTCCAAATGATGATCCTGTTAAATAATAAAGTTTAATTTAATTTAGTGTGAAAAAGATTAACGTTTTAGTAGTAAATAAAAATCAATTAGAAGCGTCGCAGTCGGTTGCAACCATCGCAATACTCAATCACAGACCAATAACAGCTTAATACAGCCTACCAGAACAATTTATTAGGTGATATTAATTTTAAACATTCGCCACGCACCCAGTTAAACATCTTCGTCTTCAACTAAAAGTTAGTCAATCTCTTTGATTGTATAAGGTTTGTTATTTAGGACGATTTTTGCGATTTACCACGCCGCAGTGGTCGTCATTATATAATTTTAGCACTTTACTTCTCGTTGATATAACTTTAATGGGCCAGCAAAATATCGCGTTCGTTTGAACAGACGATCGGACATTTCACAAGCACGATATCTCTTTTTACTTTGTCAATGAGGATAAATAGGATAGCCTAAACGCAATGCATGTAAGCACGTGACATAAATATGTAGGTTTGCAATTTAATGCTTACTACTTGGACGCTTTCCTTTTTTATTAGATTTTTCTACAATTTCATCATCGGAAATATTGAAGTCGCTTTCTGATCGCTGTTCAGAATAATCTGATTCCGAATCCTCTAAAGGATCATCTGCAAAATGGATTTCAGGTACAATGTAAAAACATTCACAATAAGCCCGACAAGTAATTATTAGTTAAGTTAAGATATTACATTTTTCACCATAACTACTCTTAGTATCACCCACAAACTTGACGAATCTATGTACTTACTTTCTTCTAACTAATCAAGGGCTACTGTGTTTTCATCCTCAACATTATTTCCCAGAGCTGCCATAAGCATCTGGGATACTTCGGCTATCTCCGCTACTGATACAGGGATTCTGTAGATTTCTTTATGTATATCTTTATGATGATCCATAAAATTGGCAAGCCTATCAATTTGGACATCTTTGACGTTAAGCATCGATGTATAGGTAGCTAAATGCTTTCGAAGCATCGTTCCCCGTAAAGCCCCTGGGCAGCGAGCCCCATATTCCTGGGCAAATTTTTTTAGAATCGGACAAGCCCTTACATATTGCTTTGCTAAGGGCTTGGCGTTAGGCACGCTAAATATGTAATCATTACTTTTTTTAACACCAGCTCTTTTACGATGTTTGAGAATAGTTTCTATACAATACTTGTCAAACGGTGTGAGCAGCACTGGCACAGTTCGATTGAGTTTTCCACGAATAGTCAATCTTGTGTATTTTTGAGCGATTTCTCTAGTTTCTTTCGTGAGACGTTCAAAGTTTTCTTTATCTACATTTTTATTGATGGCGTGCCCTGTTAGATAGTTCTCAATTGTTAGTCTTTCAATTTCACCGACTCTACGGCGGTTAAAAATTTGAAGGCCAATTAGAATGCTTTGTATCAACGATGTCCATGATAAAAAATCAAACTTAATTTTTAGCACACTAAGAGCGCTTTCCGATTTTTTTATCACATAATCAAACAGTTTTTTGATGTCTTCTTTACATGGTAAAATAGTTGGTAGGCCTCTATAAAAAGAGGAATTTCGGTTTCCCTTAGAACAAGAAAATCTTTAATTAATTTTTTTTTTTTGCATGATTTTGTGTTTTAATGCAATGAGTCCACAATATTTTTGCGCACTTTTTAATTAGAGTTGTAAGGTTCGTTGCAACTGAAGGTGCTTTAAAAAACAATGAAGAAGAGTCCCACTGAGCCACTTTTCTGATACAAGATATCATCAAATTCAAATGTTTGGGATTAATGGCGTCTTTAAGTTCCTGTATCTCATTAGATTCTGATTTTTTTATTTCATGTAATAGTCTCCTGAGCAATCTCATGTTTGCTCTGATCATATCGTACTGAAGTTCGCCGTGCTTCATAGATTCTGCGTTTGCGAATAAAACAATCAATTCATCATATATAAGATTTCTGGAAATGGGATCATCATTTAAAACATGCATTATTTTTGTGCACACAACGTCATTTGCACTTTAATGCATGAAGCCGGTTTTGGAGCGACCTTGTTTAAGCAAGTCACGAGTTCCTTTCTTATGATCGCTGCCTTTGCAATTATTAATATGACTCCGTATTGTGCTTTTGGGGAAAAATCCGGAACATCCCTTGCAACATATGAAATCAACCGCTTTGTTTTTAGAGTTTACACGCTTTTGACGGGCACGATTAGTGTTCCGTTATTTAACGATGCATCGATATTATGGATATAATCACCATTTTTCCTAATCTCATCAATAAGTAATCTGCGAGTTTTGTCATTTTTCGACAGGAACAAAAATTTTTGTACTTGCGGCTCATTTTTATGAACACTCTGCAAGTGACGAGCAAATTTTGTTTGCAATTTATTGCAAAATAAGCAAAAATGTTTCTTACAATTTGTTTGGGTTTTCGCAGTTGGAATAATTATATCCCTTACATCACTTAGTGGAGTTTAAATTGTGTAAGAAAAAACTTGTTTAATGTTGGAATTATTTAAAATGCTGGACCGGTTAGTTATATCCGGAGCATAACTGGAATCGAATCCTTGAGTGGAATCTGGACAATTAGTATTAAGCGATTGAAATGAATCGTTTATCGTGGAATGATTTTGATTTTTTGCCGGTGAATCTAAACAATAAGAGCCAAAGTCGTTAACTCCTAAAGATCCAGTATTAGCCGATGCATTTTGAGTTGTGTTTATAAATTGTTCGGATGCATCTATTTGAATATATTTAATAATTAATAGATAAAAGGGAATCTATTTTAATTATTAATGGACGTAATTCAATAATTTAAGTAAATATTTTGTATTCAATATAGTAGCACTAGGAGCAGTGCCATATACATATTTAAGAACATTTATTTTGCTTAACTTTCAGACCTTTAAGGATATGGCATAGTGTATACCTCCACTTCAGTTGCAGTTAATTGGCATTTGCTATGATCATTCGGATGTGTCTCTATTGCATCTTATATTTTAATACAATCATTTTTATATAACGTTAAGCAGCATGAACATTGTTAAAAAAATGTATATCTGTACTGATCATGTTAAGGATTTTATTTATATATATAAAAAAAAATTGTATTTATACTTTTCATTACCTTTGTTAGAAACATATAAATATAAGACGAGCACAAGACAGTTGAAACGAACACAAACTAGCTGGAATGAACACGAATCAGTTAACAAAATATAATTTGAGTAAAATCAAGTATATAAAAATAGCCTCGGTAAATAAATAAAAAAATTAACAAAAACGGTTTAAATAAGTCAGGAGGCATATTGCTTACAAGAGAACGTCACTTGCACTTTTATGCATAGAGCCGGTTTTAGAGCCACCTTGCTTAAGCAAGTCAGGAGTTCCTTTCTTATGATCGCCGCCTATGCAATTATTTATATGACTGTGTATTGTACTTTTGGGGAAAAAATCCAGAACATCCCTTGCAACATATGACAACATATTCGTTTTTAGAGTTAATTCGCTTTAAAATGTCGTTATTTAACGATGCATCGATATTGTCGATTTAATCGCCATTACTCCAAATCTCATTAATAACTACTCTTCGAGTTTTGTAATTTTTCGAGAGGCATAAACACTTTTTTACTTGTGGCTTATTATTATGCAAGTGACGAACGATTTTTGATTGCAATTTATTACAAAACAAGCAAAAAAAAGTTTTCACAATTAGGAATAATCAAATCCCTTATATCACTTAGTGGAGTTACATTGTGTAAGTTAAACTTGGAAGTATATAAGTGCTGGACTGATTAGTTATATCCGGAGTATTGTTGGAATCGACTCCTTGAATAAAATATGGAAAATTACCAAGCGATTTAAATGTATAAAATGCTTATGCTGGGGAACCTAGCCATTTAGAGGCCAGTCTTTGTCTATTATGTTAAGGTATAAGTATTTTATTAATACATTTATTTATTTTACATGTTAATATAAGACGGGCACAAGACACCTGAAACGAACACAAAATGACTGGAACGAACACAAATTAGGTAACAATCCAAAAGGCGAGTATTATCAGTATACAATATTAGCTTTAGTTAAAATACAAATTAGCAAGAACTGTTTGAATACTAAACGAGAAAGAAGGGCTATCTTCGGCACGCCAAAGATCTAATACCCTTGCAGACCCAACCTTTTCATAATGCTCATAGTGCTTTGCCCCTATCTAAGAAGTACCGGGAAAATAGTAAATGCCAAGTTTGGTCAAGATATCTTAATAAACTAACTTTTTTCATACAAAAACTTAATTTTCGACCGATCACTCCTATGACAGCTACATGATATAGCGGTCCGATATTAATAGGATTTTGCACATATATGAGGAGTAAAGTAAAACTAATAAATGCCGAGTTTGGTCAAGATATCTTGAAAAACAAAATGTTTTTTCATACAAAAACTTAATTTTCGACCGATCATTCCTATGGCAGCTATATGATATAGTGGTCCGATATTAATAGGATTTTGCACTTTTATGAGGAGTAAAGTAAAACTAATAAATGCCGAGCTTGGTCAAGATATCTTGAAAAATAAAATGTTTTTTCATACAAAAACTTAATTTTCGACCGATCATTCCTATGGCAGCTATATGATATAGTGGTCCGATATTAATAGGATTTTGCACTTATACGAGAAGTAAAGTAAAACTAATAAATGCCGAGTTTGCTCAAGATATCCTGAAAAACAAAATGTTTTTCATACAAAAACTTTTTTTTCGACCGATCGTTCCTATGGCAGCTATATGATATAGTGGTCCGATCCAGCTGGATCACATATGTGCTGCGTGCAACAGAAAGAGGAAGTTCTGCAAAGTTTCATTAAGATAGCTTTAAGACTGAGGGACTAGTTCGCATAGAAACAGACAGACGGACAGACGGACATGGCTATATCGACTCGGCTGTTTATGCTGATTAAGAATATATATACTTTATGGGGTCGGAGATGTCTCCTTCTATGCGTTACACATTTGACGACAATATAATACCCTCTGCAAGGGTATAAAAAACGATTCTTGCATTGCATATGTACATTTGTATATATATAGACTATTGCATAAATATGCATATGCGAAAATGACAAAACTGTTATTGATTTATGTACATACCTTTATTAAATTCTTGACATTGCTGGTCCAGTATTTCACGATCTTCTAATGAAATTAAAGTACATATACAGACAAATATAATTATTGAAGGGAGAAATGTCAAGCTCAACTTACCTCGCGAATCAATAATCTCCGCTTCGAAACTGCATTTGCTAAATTTTGCAATGCGCATTTTACTTCCTTCCACTGTTTTAATTTTTTTTTATGCAATTATCGAAATCTCACTTATATGTAAATCAAAGTGTTGCACTACATCACAATACGAGAAGAACTTTGTACTTGATGCATAAACTAACTTAATAAAAATGCTTATAAATATAAAATAATTGCTTAGCTAAATTCCCGATATATGCCCGATTAATTGTAAGCAACTTAAAACTAACGACTCTAACTTAATAAAATAGTTTGGATAGTGCTCACGATTTTTGAATTTTAATTTATAATATGGTTAAACCAAGGAGTTAAAATATTAGGTTTTCACAATTCCATAAATATCTAAATTTAGGGACGATGGCCCCCAAAAACCGCATATACACGATTAAAGCCTATAGTTTCTCCTAGGCAACTGTGAAAATTTGATTAAAATCGTCGGTACCATTTTTAAGACATTTGGAAAAGAGTGCAACAACCCCCAAGTCAGCCCCATATAAAATGACCGCAAAAAATCAACCTTGTTTTCGAGCCCTTATTTCTTAGCTCAGAGACAATGGCCCTCAATGCACGGTATACCCTCTTGTAGATACATATTTTAAGAAGCTTTGGGCACTAATTTTAAGTAAATGGACAGTACAGATTTTGAGAAAATTAATTAATTGTAAGCCAACCTCATAAAGCTCATTCAAAAAGTCTATCGAACTGCTAGTTCCTACGTGAACTGAATCACTGCCTGACATCAGTGTTGAACAATTTTGTACAGAACTGAGCGGGAACCAACTAAATTTGAATTATATGTAATCATGAAAAAATGGAAAGGACTCAAAGTAAATTAAATTAATAAGTCAAAGAAAATTATATGAGAAGTATTAAGTCATACTTAATAGCGCAGTTTATGGGAAAATTGCCTTTTTCCAATTTTTTCTTTACATCCTATGTTGATGCAAAAATTTTAATGCAGAAATCAATTTGTTAAATGGCAGCCATATTTTAAACTTTATTATTTCATTTCTCCGAAAACGGCCCCAAATGCACGGTAGTTGTACATATAGAGCACGATTTATCAATCATTTTGCTATTTATTTCATTAAAATCCTCGGTACAGATTTTGAGAAATTCTTATTTTTCTATTTCTCTCAGTCCAGAGAGAGTTCTCAGTTGAGAGTGATTGACGTGTTTTACTTGTGCTCCAAGATTTTTATATATTTTTGCGCTTTTATCCTGCTTTATATTTCAAAATTTTGCATTTTTCGGTGCTTTATTTAAAAAGCTTTTATAAACTGTGCAAAGTGTCATCTGTTGTGCAGCGTGTCTGTTAATTATTACATTTTATAAAACGCGGCGTCAGTTCCGTGTTTGTTGTTATTGGCTGTTTTAAGTCTTTTGCCTTTGTGCTCCCCTGTGCATACACTTGTTTGTGCGTGTGTTCGCTGCATACTTTCTGCTTGTGCATCGCGCTCTCACAAATTTCTTTCTATTGCTTTTCGCACCAAACAATTTGTTTGTGTACGAATAATTGTTTTTTGAGTGTTTACTTGTGCACCATTTTCGTTTCGTTTTGCTCTGCGCTCTCGCAAGTTGCTTGTGCATTTAATAATTATGTCGTGCTGTAAGAAACCGTGCACGTTCAAGCAGGCTGACGATTCTGCACTGCCGCAATTTGTTAATTGCTGGCTGTGTGAGAATATGATGCATGCTAAATGTGCAGGTCTCACTGGGCGTGATTGCGACAAGATCGCTGCTATTGCCAAGAAGGGCTGCGGTGGCTTGCGTTGGTCGTGCCCAGAATGCATCGACAAGCAAATTGATTTCTCCAGAATGTATAATTCTGTGAGAAGTCAATTCTTAAAAAAAAATAATGTGGCTAAGCAGCTCTCGAGTAATTTTGACTCGAGTTTCGAGTTGCTAGGCAAATATAAATTTGAGTCCCCAACCAATCGCCGGTTGGAGCCTCAACTTTTGCAATTGCCCTCTACGTCTGTTCAGACGTCTGTTGGAGGTATCTCCAATGTTGTCTTTATCGCCTTCTCCAAGCGACTGTCCAATTACCCCGGCTTCAAGCCCTGTACTAGACCCAGTAGAGCCCGTACCTGATTCCGTCCCAATTAATCAAACTGCCTCAGCCCCGTCAGCTCCTGGCCGCAAAGGTAGACCTGCGCGCAATCTTGCGCAGATTGTTAAAAGCAATCATTGTGCCTCGTTAGCTCCTCCAACTCCTGTATTACCTACAGCCCCATCAGCGCCTACTTTAACGGTAGTTGCCCCTCGTAGGCAAGTTTTTGAGTCTCGACTTTCGTCGGACACCACTTCTGAGTCATTGGCAGCCTATATTGCTAGCAAATCTTCTGCTAGCGTGTCAATAACTAAATTTAATTTCTCCACCCCACGTGAAATATCATCATTCAAAATAAATGTTTCACATGATATGTTCCCAATCATTTGTGATCCCAAATTTTGGCCACCACACATGATTGTTCATGAGTTCAAGCCTAAAAAGCGTAACCAGCCTGTCACCCTTCCAGTCCCTTCAATACATACAAATACTGACCAAATCTTTATTCATTATCAGAATGTCAGAGGTCTCACTTCAAAGCTAAAAAATCTTTTTATTGCCAGCACTTCCTTCGATTCGGACATAATAGCATTTTCAGAAACATGGTTAAACTCAACCATATCTGATTTTGAGATATTACCGAATAACTTTATTTTGCTTAGAAATGATCGGCCGACTCGAGGTGGTGGGGTGTTAATTGCCGTTAAAGCCACTCTCCAGTCTGAACTATTCTGTTTTAGTACGCCTACTGACGCTGAGATTGTCTCAGTTAAGGTGTCTTTTCCTACACGGAATATCTATGTAACATGCTCTTATGTCCCACCTTCTTCTGATATTCAAGTTTATATAAATCATATTACTTGTATTAAAGAAGTTTCTTCACACGTGCGGGATAATGACCTATTATTGGTGTTGGGTGATTTTAATTTGCCGAACATCTCTTGGTCATTATTCACTGCTGAAAATTATCTAGTGCCCTCAGCACAGCACGATTTTTTAGACTGCATGCTTGATCTTTCGTTGTTTCAAATCAATTCAATTTCTAATCATATGAATAGAACACTTGACCTTGTATTTGTTAACGACTACCTTATTTCTAATGTGTCTAGGTCACCTCCTTTATCTCTTCCTGAGGATGTCTATCATCCAACTTTAGAGATTGCAATGCTAAATTGTAATCCTTCCATTTCGTGCTCATCAGCCAATAAGCCCCGCTATTGCTTTCGCAAAGGAAATTATTCCTTGCTGAATCAGCTTATTTATTCAACCGATTGGTCTTTCTTATATGACTCAGTTGATATGAATACAGCCATTAATTCTTTTTATATCACCCTAAACTCCCTCTTAGATGTGTGTATTCCTAAGACAATTCCTTCGACTACTTTTTCAAAACCACCCTGGTTTACTCCCAGATTATCACATCTAAAAAATGTAAAATCCAAATATTTTAAAAAGTTTAAAAAGTCTGGTTCGTGTACAGACTTGGCTAAATATTCCATAGCCAATTATCTAATTATCTAATTCGTTGTAAAAGGCAATTCGCCCAAAATCCGAGACAGTTTTATAATTTTGTAAACTTGAAGCGTAAATCTTCAAGTTAGCCATCTTCCTTTTTTCTTGGGATGGATAAAGCTAGCAATGACACTGATTCTGCTAACCTCTTTGCTAATTTTTTCCAATCAACTTACTCTTCAGTCTGTCCTAATACTAATTCTTACCCTTACACTATTTCTTCCGCTAGTTCTATACCTCCCCCCATTATTTCACACTCCTCTCTCCTATTAGCTATAAACTCTTTAAAATCTTCTTACTCTCCTGGGCCGGACAATATTCCTAGTTGTCTACTCAAGGAGTATAGTTCTTCCCTTTTTTATCCATTGCTAAAGCTTTTTAATCTATCCCTTGAAACTTCTGTCTTTCCATTTCTTTGGAAAGAATCTTATATCATTCCTCTTCACAAGAAAGGTGGGATTTTCCTTGGTAAATGATGCTTTCCTTTCGAAAATGCAAACTGATGTCATTTACACTGACTTCAGTAAGGCGTTTGACTCTGTGCACCATGACATTTTACTTTTTAAACTTGACCGAATAGGTTTCCCTCTGTCCCGTTTACTTTGGATTAATTCCTATTTAAAAGGTAGGACCCAAAGAGTAATACTGAGGTTGACTACCTCTAAAAGGGTTCACGTTACTTCTGGTGTTCCTCAAGGTAGTCATCTTGGACCTTTACTCTTTACACTTTTTATAAATGATCTTCCCTCTGTTATATCACATGCCCGTGTACTCATGTATGCGGACGATGTCAAACTTTTTCTATCATACACTAACCCCCTACATCATTCTCGTCTACAAGACGATTTGAATGCTATGCAACTTTGGTGTTCGGCCAATCAATTGCATCTAAATTGTTCAAAGTGTATGTTTATGACTTTTAATCGTACTACACCTTATCTTGTCAGTTATACAATCGACAATATCCCTTTGCAACGTATACTAACAGTTAAGGATCTAGGCGTTATTTTGATTCTAAACTCTGTTTCAATCTTCATATAGATACCATTGTTAATGAGGCAAAAGGTGTACTTGGATTCATTAAACGATGGTCTAAAGAGTTTAACGGTCCTTTTATAACAAAACTTCTGTACATCTCTCTTATTCGCCCTATCCTTGAATACTGCTCTTGCATCTGGTCTCCACAGTATATCAACAGCCAGGATCGTATTGAATCTGTTCAGAAGCAATTTCTGATTTTTGCCTTACGAGGTTTAAATTGGGACCCTAATCTTCGGTTGCCGTCCTACTCCAGCAGACTGCTTCTTCTCAACCTTCCGTCGTTAATCAACCGTAGGACAATTCTCGGTGTTGTCCTTCTACATAAGTTGATTACTGGCGACATACATTCTCCTTTTCTGCTAGGGCGTCTTCAATTCTCTGTTCCGGCTAGACCAACCAGAAATTATCGCCCCTTATTACTATCTACGTGCACAACTGATTACGCTATGCACAATTCTTTTCGCGTGCTATGTAAAAATTATAATAGTTTGCATCACGTTTTCTCTACCGAACT